ATGGCAATGGTTATAACAAGAAACTTTAGGGCCAAAGCCGTAATTAGCTAGATAATTAGTCTTCTTATTAATTAAAATGATGCTGCTTTAAGTTTATTTCTTGTGATAAACTTTGCATGAGAATGGTGGCTATTTATAGATGAAATTTCTTGAATGAATCCTCAGATTAAACTACCCCAAAATAAACAATGAATTAATTAAGGTAGCTTCTTAATTACCAAGTCTTCTGATGATTAGTTTATAATAAACCCAATTCCTGAACCCTTCTTCAACAACTACAGAGACTGATTAATCCTCCCTGGGCTATTGGAAATGGTCAGTATTAGGAAATAAGAAAAATACAGAAGAAATAAGGAGTAACAAAGTCAAAATTGGAAAGTTTTTAGAAAAGGTAAAACTTTCAATCGTACTTTAAGGGAAGGGAAATATTTTACCAATTCTTAAGGATAAAAATGGAAAATGGACCCAAAAGGTGGATTGAGGAGTATTTTTAGCCAAATAGGTGAATGAGGGTATATTTGAACCTTTCCAGAAAGTCCAGGAGCCCTTTTTCGTTTAAACTAGGAAAGAAATCTTGATAATTCACTTACTATGGACTAGTAGTCTAATCTAATTTTATAAAAGAGAATTTTGCATCTTTCAACACGTTACTATTTTATTGTAGTCTTTCTACCTTTTTAGCAGTAGTATCAGACAGATGGATACTATACTAGATAGATCTATAGATAGTAAACATAGATATATATATATATATATATATATATATAAAGTAGACAAGATGGATACTATACTAGATAGATCTATAGAGAGTAAACATAGATATATATATAAAGTAGACAAGATGGATACTATACTAGATAGATCTATAGATAGTAAACATAGATATATATATATATATATATATATATATATATAAAGTAGACAAGATCAAATATTTAAGAAAAGTAAAAAATGACACATTCATTGTGATCCCAACTATAGATTATGAATTTGACTCTGCTTCTTATCTCATACAGGGATTGTTCAAGTGGTTTTGATGAACCAAATAAGACTAATCTCAAATACAAATGTAGTTAGTATTTACTTCATCATCAAAGTAGTAGCCTAGGATGTCTTCAAATGGCTTGTTTACTTTTAGTACTACTCATCATCACATTAGAATCATAATAATTCTCTGTTTGTTCATCAAGGTAGAAGATTTTGACACCAAGCTCCTTAAATTCAGCAAACTGAGGAGACCCCATAACCTCAATAACATCTCCTTGTTGAAATAAATTCTCAACTTTCCAATAACTTAACCACATCATCCCACTTTGATCATCTTCTGGAAGGCCAAACCAAGCAGGATAAAAAGCCCAGTTCAAATCTTTTGTCTGATTTCGTAACCAAATTGCTGGTCCATCGTACAAGCCAACGTTGGTGTATGCTTCTGGACATTTGTATACAAAGCAAATGCTCAATCCATTTATTACTCTATGGCTATTGACATTATTATTTGGTAGGGTGCAATAGACATCTGCTGCATCTGTGAACTTGTAGCTGAACCAATTGGGTACGCTTTCGCCAGGCAAAAATGTTGAGAAAACACCACAGTGATACAATATCTGAGACATCATGTACACTAAATTAATTAGATTTGTATTATATTCAACAAAATGTGCATGTGATAAATCATGTAAAAAGAGACAGACCTGTGAAGGGAGCTTGTTAGGTGATAGCGAAAATAAGCTTGCTACGTCATCGCGTACAAAGCTTGGGTATTTTTTCCCAACAATATTAGACATACGACCAAATACAAGAGAAACCATCATACTAGTCATAGGTTGTAAATTTGAAATTCCCATGAAGGCAAGCACTTGAGCACCTGCATTTTCCAGTGGCTCTAACTTGAACACACCTTCCACCTCAATAAGTTTGTTGCAATTTATATAACCTTCTACTGGATACCCTTTCGCACAATTAGAAGCTACTTTCTCCAAGGATATGCATCCACTAGCATTTAACCCACTGAGATTTGATGGTAACCAATCGAGACGTTTGATATTTGTACAATATGAAATGCCAATATATTTAAGCCTTGTAAGATTCTTAATGCTATCTGGTAGATTGCTAATTGGATTTCCTTCCAAATTTAGACGAGTTAGCAAACTCACAATGCCTAAATCAACATTCTTAAAAGCATCAAGAGATAAATTGCAATTTGCAATGTCTAACACATGCAAGGACCTTGGAAAATGGATTTCATGAACTATAAGGGACCCTTTGTTTCCGGGCCCAAGACCATAAAGATGAATACCATGTTTGGGAACCCAAATTGATCCCATCAGCATAAAGCTCCTTTAGTGATGTCAATTTATCCAGCTCTGTTGGTAGGTATTCAATATTTGAGCAGCCTGAGATGTCAAGTATCACGAGACATTTTAACTTACATATGCTATCTGGGAGGCTCTTTAGTTTCTGACAATCTTTAAGGTTCAAAAGGATGAGTTTTTGCAAACATCCAATGGTGTCGTCAACATTGATTAACTTGGTACAATGTTCAAGTATCAACATTTCAAGATTGGGAAGCCCCGACAAATCTGGTGTTGTGATGAGCTCATAAGAATGGCTTAGATCCAGTATCTCTAGGTATTGGAGAAACTAAAATATCAAAACAAGTCCTTTGTTAAGTACAATTAGTCATATTTTAGAGTGTCAATTTTAGCCCATAAATATATACTTTGAGGATAGTTTGGAATGGAGTTAAAAAAAAATAATCACTAGCTACGAAATGTATGTAGCTCAATAAAATGAATGAACAATACCTTATATCCGTTCCAAAGTTGTTTCAAGCTGCTGTATCGCATATCGATAGACACAACATTTCTCATTGGAAACTCACTTGGTATACACTCCTCTGGGAATCCACTCCAACATAGCCATCTCAATCCCTTTGGAAAATTCTTGTAACTTCCATTCACTTGAACTTTGTTGAATCTGAGAAATTGTAGCTTGTGCATTTTCTCAAAGGCATCAGTTTTCACAGAATCTTGTAAACTAGAATTGCCCAATTTTGTACTCCAAGCTGTGGAAATTTTTTGTCTCACTGGTGATAAGGGACTAGAGTACTTTTCTTTCTTAATCATACGCATGTCCAGTACCATCCCTTGCACTGATTCTGTTCCCTAATATAAAACTCAAAAGAACAAAAAAGAAATATAAGTTCCACTTCCACATACAACCAAAATGCTAGGTGATTTCTTTTTGTTTGATGGGAAGAATCATCCGATACTTGTGTTGTTGATGCATGAGAGGTATCACATACCTAGTGAAACACCATAAGGTGACAAAATTAAATATTCAATAAATACATGCTTAGTACTTACTGTTTTTCCTCTTAGGACATTGTAAGAAATTGTGTGGTGCCAAAGTCTACTATGCTTTCCAGGATCAGTAGGTGCTTCTCTACAAACAATGTCTCTTCCCATATCACGTACTAATTGATGCATTCTTATATCATTTACATATTCATCAATTGTCACTAAACTTCTATCAATGAGATTTTGTAATCCCACCAATGTGTAAAACTCACATTTATCTAATATCCTAACTACAAAATCTTTTTTCATCCACACAAAGAAACAAGAAAGGTGAAGGAACAAATTCTGATCATGATCATCTTCCAACAGCTCATAACTTAATCTCAATTTGTCAACAATTTTATTTGTAGGTATATCTCTCAACTTCTCTATTGCACTTCTCCACACATCCTTAGATTTTCCAGCCAAGGAAGAACCAATAACTTGAAGAGCTAATGGAAGTCCTCCACACCATTCAATCACTTCCTTTGAGTATTCTTTGTAGCATTTGTCTTCACTTATTTGATTAATGTTTTCATGACCAAATGCATGAAAATTGAAGAGCTCATTTGCTTCAATTGTGTACAAAATTCCAACTTCATGTACCTCATGGCCTAATTGAAGTCTTAGTAAGCTTTTGTGCCTAGTTGTCACAATTATTTTACTTCCAAAACCAAACCAATCTTTCATGTCAAATATTGCTTCAACCAAATCAGGCTCATCAACATCATCAAGAACAAGAAGAACTTTTCGATAACATATCATACATGCAAACTTCATTTTACGTTCAAGAATCGAAACAAGTTGATCCAAACACCAACCAGAAGATGCATAGTTTTGTGAGAATACAATTATACACATCTTTGATTCTTGTATTGACTCTGAATTAATGTTTTCTTCTCTTCTTGATTCATCAATATCATCACAACCACCACCTTTGAACGTGCAAAATCCGGCTTGTTTTAAAGCTGTGGAGAGATGGTCCGTGAAAGTTTTGCCTGTGTCGTCACATTTGAAACTCAAAAACACATCATATGAACCTTTGGAATTGTTGAATGATTGATCATCATAAGCTAATTGTTTGGTGGTGGTCATTGAACAAAATTCACCACCAAAGTCAATCAACTTTGAGTTTCATTTTATAATTATTCTATTCTTTTAAATGTTCATTCGGTAATCAAAGTTGAGAAAATGACTAAAATGGTCCTTGTTGTATGGGGGTTGGATCATTTTGGTCCTTAATATATCTCTTCAATACAGATAGTCTGTAATATATATAAAAAAAGATGATTCATTTGATCCCAAACCCTAAATTTAACAGAGTAACTCAAAAGACCAGACAAGAATTTCATGAACCAACTTAGTTTGATTCTGTGGAGAATATCATTAACTAATAAATACGTATTATTCAAAAATGAAAAAAAAAATATGTGAATGAAAATCAGTCCATAGACAATATTCTATTATTCAAAAATGAAATTCACTATATTTAATATCATTAACCAATCTTTATTAAATACATCAATCAACCTGAATGAAAATCAATCCAAAAGACCAGATACTCAATCTTATTCACAAATAATACTACTAGCTATATCTTCACACCATGGTAATTAGAACATCATTGAATGGTATATTTTTTTAAAGAAACAAACATGAGTTGTTGGTTTATACTTTTAGTTATTATCCCACCAAAATTCTTCTTGAAGATCATCAATCACTTTCTTGTCAACTTGAAATGCTTTAGAGAGGACATTATCATTAATTGGTGGATCTGAACCAAATACTGCATTTGCAATAGTGATAACTCCTGCATTTTGGCTGCTCAAACCAGTAAACGCAATGGCATTAGTCTTTCCCACGTTAAGTTGAAAATGAATTAGACCCTCGGGAAAAACAAAGACATCACCAGGGTTCAAAATCTTGGTGAATAACTTGTTCTTCATATTTGGGCCAGGGTTAGAAAGGACGAAACCAACATAGAGTCTTCCCTTAAGAACAACAAGAACCTCGGTTCCTCTAGGATGTGTATGAGGTGGATTGAGACCACGTCGTGCAAAATCAATACGAGCTAAAGAAATGCCTAAAGTATTGAGCCCAGGTAAATTGTTGACGTTGACAGCAGTAACAATTGATCCAAGTTGATTTGACGTATTTCCAGGCTTGTTTAGGCCTGGTCTGAAGAAGTCATCAGCTGTGACAAGTTTTGGATCCTTGCAAACTTTTCCATTCACGAAAACTGCATGAAAACAAATGTACATTAGAAACCAGAAAAATCACTCTGTATTAATGTAAAATGCGAAGCTAGAACTTAAGCAGTTATTAATCTCAATTACCAGTTGCTTTAGAGTCATTAACAGCAACACAGAAATCTTGTAAGGGACTTGGGTCTGAGGCAGTGCTAGGTGAAGATGTCAAAGCCAATATGGCAATGGTGATAACAAGAAACTTCAGGGCCAAAGCCATAATTAGCTAGATAATTAATCTTCTAATTAATTAAAAGGATACTGCTTTAGTTTTTTTTCTTGTAAGCTTGAAGGTGAAAGACTTTGCATGGGAATGGCAGCGCTATTTATAGATGAAATTTTTTGAATGAGTCCTCAAATTAAATTAACCCCAAAATAAACAATGAATTAATTAAGGTAGCTTCTTAATTACCAAATCTTTGATGATTAGTTTATAATAAACCCAAATCCTGAACCCTTCTTCAACAACTACAGAGACTGATTAATCCTCCCTGGGCCATTGGAAATGGTCGGTATTATGAAATAAGAAAAATACAGAAGAAATAAGGAGTAACAAAGTCAAAATTGGAAAGTTATTAGAAAAAGTAAAACTTTCAATAGTACTTTAAGAGAAGGGAAATATTTTACCAATTCAAACTTCGCTTTATTTAGACAAATTTCTTGTTATTACTGCGAATGTTCACAATTTTTTTACTGTAGTAAGATTTAGTCATTAATAGTTACGTTGTTGACATAACTTCATGACATAATTGTTTAAATATTCACCATGGAAGACTTGGTGATGCATGCAGAAGCCAAATCCACACATTGTTTGAAGACTATTTTGATCAAATTTTTATCTATAAATAGCCACAAATCTCTGCTCATGTTTCTCACACAGATAAAACAGAGTACATAAATTAAATTGTCTCAACATATTTTTAGACAGAGTTTGAACTAATTGTTATGGCTCTCAAGTACTTTGTATTAACCATTGTCATATTGGCTGTGGTGACTTCAATAAGCCATGCATCTGATCCTAGTCCTTTACAAGATTTTTGTGTTGCTGTTAATGATTCCAAGTCAGCTGGTAACTTTGATTCTTATTTCAATAATGGCATTTGCATACTTCTTGCTGCTTTTGTTTGTTTTCTATACTATTATAGTATTTGTTGTTATTTTTGCTTTCTAATTGTGATTTCTGTGTACAGTTTTCGTGAATGGGAAATTTTGCAAGGATCCAAAGGATGTTACTGCAGATGACTTCTTTAGACCAGGGTTAAATGTACCTGGGAATACTTCAAATCAACTTGGATCTGTTGTAACTGCTGTGAATGTTAACAACTTGCCTGGACTCAACACTCTAGGCGAAATTCTTTAGCTCGTATTGATTTTGCACCGTACGGTCTCAACCCACCTCATACTCACCCTCGAGGAACTGAAGTTCTTGCTGTCCTTGAGGGCACGCTCTACGTTGGATTTGTACTTTCGAACCCTGGTCCAAATATGAAGAACAAACTCTTTACCAAGATACTACATCCTGGAGATGTGTTCGTTTTTCCAATAGGTCTGATTCATTTTCAATTTAATGTGGGAAAGACTAAGGCCGTTGCATTTGCTGGACTCAGTAGCCAAAATCCAGGAGTCATCACTGTTGCAAATGCAGTATTTGGCTCAGACCCACCGATCAATGATGATGTTCTTGCAAAAGCATTCCAAGTTGACAAGAAAGTTGTGGATTATCTCCAGTCACAATTTTGGTGGGACAACAACTAGATTAGTATAAGCCAAATACTATGGTTTCTATTATGTGTGCTTATGTTTGGAATTTAAGAAATCACAAATAAATCTCATGATCTAGCCTTGTGGACTGGTTTCATTGATCTTTGTATTGGATGTACTAAACAAGGATTTCTCATGGTTTGTTTTAGTAAAAAATTATATTTAATCGTGAGTTACGATAATGTTCTCAAAACTATACAAAAGTTTCAAATTAAATCACTTCATAGTATTTATTGAATTTGATAGAGTATTTAGCCATATTACTTTCTGATTCAAGCATGTAGGAACCATATTAGATTAATTCAAGATTTTAAAATTAAAAATTAGATATTCGAAAACCATATGAGAAATAATGTAAGTTGCAATTCTTCTTGTGTCATATCAATAGAAAAAATGTTGATCAAAGTTCATGTAGTTTGAATCTCGAGAAGTGAAAAGTGACCAATATTTTCAGACAGTGGGAGTACAATACATGAAAACCATCGACCAACATACATTAAAGTCAGAATGTTGGACTCAAGAGATTAGAAAACAACAAGAATTGATATTTTCAAGGTCTAACTTCACAAGGGAGAAATAAGTCCAAACAAGAACAAAGATCATTCTTTCAAGCTTAAATTTTGTACCATTTGATTGCATTCTGCCAAGGGTCCAAATCCTTATTACTGAAAAGCTGTCAAATTTGATTTGCTATTCTGACCAATGGCATATGAACAAGTTCAAGAATCCTCCAAGTTCAGATCTAGTAGTATTTATGATGTTTTCTTGAGTTTTAGGGGGTGAAGACACTCGCAAAACTTTCACTAACCAGCTCTATGAGGCTTTGGTTGATGTGGGTCTTCGTAGTTTTATGGATGACAATGAGATTGAAAGAGGAGAGAACATTAAGTCTGAACTGGATAAAGATATCCACCAGTCAAAGGGATCAATCATTGTTTTGTCGAAAAACTATGCATCTTCCAGCTGGTGCCTTGATGAACTTGTCATGATCCTGGAGAACAAAAAGAACAGAGGACATGTAATTCTTCCTGCTTTCTACTATGTTAATTCATCTGATGTCAAAGAGCAATCAGGGAGCTTTTCCATAGCATTTGCTCAACATGAAAAGAAATTGCTGGAAAATTCAGAAGATGGTCAAGCATGGGCTAAGCGGATCGAAGGGTGGACGAAAGCACTCAAAGAAGTTTCTAGTCTTGGGGGATGACTTTACAGGGGTAAACTGAAAGGTAAGCTCCATTATTACCCAAGATATATGTGTAGCAGCCCATGTACTGTGTCTTCAATTATACTTTGATTAAATGTTCCTGTTTTTGGATGACAAGTTTGTGATTCTACCTTCTAACGTCTGGTCTTTGTGTGCTGCTCTTGTAGGAACAAGACACAGTTTATTGAGAACATCATCAAAGTAATTGAAGAGAAAATAAATCATTCAGTTGTATGTATTGCGCCCCATCTCATTGGAATAGATTCTCGGGCTAAAGACCTTAATCTGTGGTTGAAAAATAGGACTGATACAGTTAGTGTAGCTGGAGTTTGTGGTATGGGTGGGATAGGAAAAACTACAATTGCCAAGTATGTCTTCAATATAAACTACACGAATTTTGAAGGAAGCAGCTTTCTCAAGAACACAAGACAATATTCTTAATAGAGTATTTCAGAACATATTTCTTCAAAATTAGAGAAATGTCTATCATAAAATATAATTACGAATAAGATGACGATAGAAGTATTGATTGTCATCCAAATTCCACATAAATAGTTCTTTCTAGAAAAATGAAATTTCAAATGAAGGAAGAAAAAAGAAGATACTTGGGGAGATGATGGCTAAGATGTCATATTTTGCATCCGACTCCTCCAAAGATTTTAGCAGGTATATGTATTCCCATTCATGGATCTCATGGTATGTAGGGCAAAATGAAGTCCAATCCAATCCCCATATGGCCATAGCAGTATAAATCTACAAGCCCTTGACGTTTGGTAGGCATCATCCCCTGATAAGGATAATCTCGCTGCATTTCTTGACTGTTTGAGTTCAAAACCATGTCTACTTGCTCTCCATGCATTAAGTGAATACCAATTTCCTTGATGATAAAACCAACCATAGTAAAAACTGTGACATTCAAGGTGTCACCAGCATCCAGCTGACTCAAAAACTTCCAATGAGTGAACCATAACATTTCATTTTGGCCTTCAGGAAGACCATAGCAAGTTGGGCTATAAATCAGTTTCACATTCTTCTGCTCATTATGGATTATCAAATAAAACTGGATACCCTCAACCCAGACTTTCCAGTCAATTGTGTACACTGAGCACACAGTTATGCCCTGGATCTTGAGATCAGGAGATGAAGGGACGGTGAAAGATAGAGTTGATCCAGCACTCTTGTAACAAAACCAATCAGGAACCATGCTCCCTGGAAGATATATGCTGATCATTCCTTTTTCAAACAATACCTGTGTCATGAAGAATTTCATTAAAAATGACAAAAAAAAGAACCAACAGGTACAGCTGTTACATGAAGAAGTTTGACCACACAAATGAAAGTAGATCCGTCAACCCCTTCTTTGGGGGTGGGAAGGGGGAATGGAAGAGGAGAAAATACCTTTACTGGTCCTCTACTTTCTGTATGAGTTGAATTGTTATACAATTTCACTTCAAAGCTTCCGACAGAATCCCACATGCTTAATTCCAACGACTTCATTGTTTTCTCAACTCCTCCCATGGATTCCAACTTATAGCTTCCCTCCATATCAGTGAGTTCTTTACAGCCAGTTATATGGTAAACTTTTGCACGGCACCCTACAGATAGATATGTAACTCTTTCTAGGGAAATGCAGTCTGCCACACTCAAATTGTGGATGCGAGGTAGGTCTATGAGAAATTTAAGGATTGTACAAGAACCTAATTCAAGATTGTTGAGCCTGGAAAGAGTTCTGATGCAATCTGGAAGACAACTGATTGGATTTTTACTGAGGTCTAGGTTCTTCAACGACATTAAATTACTGAAGTCCCTCGGAAAAGCAACTTCAGATAGGTTGCACTCAGATAGACTTAATTTAACCAATGACTTAGGTAAAGAAACCCATGAAAGCTCAAGAACTTTTTTTGGCTTCGGAACCCAAGACCGGATAAGTGCATGCCATATTGGGTTCTGTTTTCTCTTAGAGGGTAATTGACTCATTGGGATTTCATTGGCAAGGAATACTTCCAAGGATTGCATCCTCCACAAGTCTCTTGGAAACTCTACAAGATTTGAGCAACCAGATATTATGAAGGTTTTAAGAACTTTTAACTTGCAAATCTCTCTGGGTAGCTTCTGAAGTCTTTTGCAGTTTTTGATATTTAAGAAAATGAGCCGAGCCTCTAAGGTTCCAATGGATTCATGAACCTCAATTAGATTGACACACTCTTGGAGGAAACTAATAACACAAAAACAATTGTCATACTCTTCTTCCTTCCCACAGTCTTTCCAAACAGCTGTTCCGCATGTCAAGAACAGACAAGCTCTCCAATGGAAAATCATTTGGCACACACTTCAAAGGAAAACCTCTCCAATATAGCCACCTCAGGTTCTTGGGAAAATCATTATAAGCACCATTTAGATGTGTATAATTTATCTGAAGCAGTCTTAGCTTATTCATAATTGTAAAGAGATTCGTTCCCAATTCAAGCTCATTTAAGGTTTTTGAAGAAAATTTGTTGGGATGCCTGGAGAAACCGAACCGATAACTCTTAACTTCTGTAAGCAGCCCCTTTCTTCGACTGCTAGAACTTCCCATGAAGGATTCGTCTTCCTTTACCATATTCATGTCAAAGAAAAGACCTTCAATAGTCTCTGAGCCCTGAAAAAAGAATTAGAGAAGAGCTTAGCAGTGTCCAAAAGAAAAGGAAGTATACACCAGAAAGGAAATGTTTACCATGTTTTCTCTCAATACATTAAATGAATCCTTGTAGTGCCACAACCGGGTACGCCTCCCAGGCTTCTTAGATGATTCTTGACGGACTATTTCTCTGCCCATGTCCCGAAGCATTTGATGCATTATCAACTTGTTACCCTCAATCATCAAAAGGAATCTATCTATGAGATTCTGAATCCCAATTTTTGTATAAATATAAGATTCCTCTAGCACAGCAATAACATAATCTTTATCCTTTCTTGCGAAGAAGCAGGCAATGTCAAGGAACAAATTCTTATCATGATCATCTTTTAATGAGTCATACCCAAATTTTAGTTTTTTAATGATCTGGCTTGCAGGAATTGTTTCCAACTTGTCTAATGCACTCTTCCATACATCGATATTTTTCCCACGAAGAGAAGAACCCAATACTTGAAGTGCCAGAGGAAGCCCTCCACAATGCTTTACCACCCTTTTTGATAGTTCCATGTAGTCATCACCTGGGTGGTCCTCCCCAAAGGAATGCCAACTGAAAAGCTCCAGTGATTCATCATTACCCATTTCCCTGACTTTATGGACTTTTTGAATTTCTTGAATCTTCAGCAAACATGAATTCTTAGTTGTTATGATTATTTTACTTCCTGGACAGAACCAATTTTTCATTCCAATTATAGCGTGAAGTTGTTCTTGTTGATCAATGTCATCCAATATGACTAGAACTCTCCTAGAACATATAGCATCTCTAATCTTGATGATGCCTTCATCAGTATCTTGTATTTTACTCTTTTTCCCAGTTAAATCATAAAGGAGCTGCTTTTGTAAGCGAATTAAGCCATCAGGTTGCTGAGAAATATCTTGGATATTTTCAAGAAAACTACTACCTTCAAATCTTCTACAGTTTGTAGTGAAAACATATTTGGCAACAGTTGTCTTCCCAATTCCACTCATCCCACAAATTGCAATAACATTATCATCATGTGATCCGTCTAGCAACCATGAAATGATATTTTCGACCCGTGAACTGATCCCAACCAGGTAAGGTGCAACACTCGATATTGTCCGGTTCAGCTTATCCTCAATGAGTTGAAGAATTTCTTCAATGAACTCTGATTCCTTCCTAATCAATTACCAAAATTATCATTTCTGACTGTAATGACTTGTAAAGGATTTTCTATGCAAGCAAGATAAGTTACAACTGTGTAACCAGCAAAGTGATTGGAATAAAACTGGAATGCGAAATAAAGAAGTAGGAAATCCAGCATCCTAACTTAAGACAATACAGACAGACAAGAAATTTATCTATTCCAACCTATTCATAAAAGTAATTTGATCCCTATTTTTTTTTTTTTATGACAAGGGAAACCCGCAGCCGCTACCCTTTGGGTGCGCACAGGGTAAAACCCCCGCTCCTATGCAATAGCTCGCAAACCACATAGGAGAGGTAACCCGCACTAGGCAAGCCCGGTGCGACAAGCTCAACCCAGAAGGCAAACCCCTTGCTTTCTCTGGCAAGGGGTTTCGAACTTGAGACCTCCAACATGGAAGTCCCAAGCCCAAACCACTGGGCCACCCCGAAGGGTGTAATTTGATCCCTAATTTCATTTCCTTTTTGATGAAATCAGTTTGTATCATACAATACTTGGATGTCTCAATGGAAAGAACCTAAAGCTCAAGTTGTCAACCCACACATCCATAAATATTTGAGACTTCAAGCAAATTTTAATTTACTGGATATTAATGTACTGAGATAGAACCTGTAGTTCTCCCCCCACCCACCTTTTTTCCCCTAAAGAGCTTTAACTTAACCTTTAATGATTTTATAGAATTCCTCAAGAAATGCAACCTCAAATTGCAATATGCAAGATGAAGCAAGTTCAAAAAGGTTGCTCGAAAACAGAATCTTAATCAATTCTTGATTACTATGCAGTATGAAGAATATACTGGTTCTGAAGAAAAAAACTTACTTATACTCTTGATTGTTCACTAGAACACCACCCGAATCTGCCACCTCTCCAAGAGCTGCTCTCCATTTTCGGACCTTATCTATCAACTCCCTCTTTCCTTCATCACTTTCAGCTTTAATTTGCCTCTCATAACTCGCAAATGCTTCTGCAAAACTCTTTTTCTGATCTCTAACTTCAGAAGGATCCACATGATAGAAGACAGGAAGAACTGCATGCCCTTTTGTCCTCTTATGTTCAAGGATTTTGACAAGTTCATCAAGGCACCATGTTGAAGTAGCATAGTTCTTCGAGATGATAATTATTGAACTCCTCGAATTTCTAATTGCATTCTCTAGTTCTGTCTTAATATTTTCCCCTCTCTCAATCTCATTATCATGCTTAAACGTACGCCACCCTGCACCTACCAAAGCTGCATAAAGAGTGTCAGTAAAAGTCTTGCGGGTGTCTTCACCCCTGAAACTCAAGAACACATGATAAATGGATGGATAAACAAAAGAGGAAGATGTTTGTGGTCTTTCAGAACCCATCAGATCGAGTTGACCAATCAATTCTCCACAATTACACAATGCTTTAAAAGCCAATATATGAAATACCAGCAAGAAAATGTAGACTAGAGAAAGCTAGTTTTAGGTAGGTTAATCCCATTATCTTGTACTAATAAATTAATAAGCTGATTCTTTATTTAATTAGTACTGAAATCAACAGCCATGGATCAAATGAACACCAGTCCAAAATCTGACTCAATGTTCACTAACTTCTGTCTTTACCACAAATAATGAATCAATATAAATCAAAGATGATTTAGTAATCTATACTTGTTTGATTATCAAAGCCGGCCAACTGATTGATTAGTTTATTCAGAAATCTGCAAGTATGTACTCACCTCAGCATCGGTCAATATTCTTTCTGCATAGATCATCCAATGTTACATAATAAATAAAATAAAATAAAAAAAGTTGTTACCCTTTCGGCTACTACAGCACTTCTTTTCTGCATACCCTGAAATATGATAAAATCCCCCGGGCCGCCATCTCTCTTCTTGCTGGACAATCCATGGCTTCCGAGAATTTCTGAATTTTCCGTCTCGACGTAACACAATTTCAAAACGGTTATACGGGTCAACATAGTCTCACTAGAGCTATGAATATGGGCAGGCCCACCCCATCTGGGTTAACTTATACAGGCTTTGAAATTTGATATACAGATCGGTTAGGCCATTTTTTGTGTAGGCTAGAAAATAGTTTGCCTAGCCTATAAGTACATAGACTTTGTCGGATCAGCCCGATTTTCTTAAAAATATATTTTTTATAATTAAATTATAATTTAAAAATATTATCATAAATATCGACAAGACAATATTCATAGTGTTAGTGTTACTATATGTTAATCAAATACACAAATAAAATTATCTTTATAATTTATTAAGTTTGATTTTAAGTAAAACCATAAATAGCTAAATAGAAATATTAACATAATTATTTTCCAATGATCATAATAAAACACAAAAACTATGATAATATATAGCCTATGGCCTATGTAGTGATTCCCTAAAAATTTTCGGCAAAATTTTATTTTATGTAGGACATATTTTATAAACATAATTTGTATTTAAATTGTAATATTTCAAACTTTAAACAGATTTTGAGTCTAGACTCTTGTTATTTTCAATACTCTATTTTATTTTATTTTTTAGTTAATTTTTATTTGGCCCACGGGCCGGTCCTATCCATTTTTCTCAATTCCCATTGACAGATTTATTCAGGCCGGGCTAAAAATCTTTTCTTAAATGGGCTCCAAAAATCGTACCCCAGCCCTATTAAATCACAGGTTAGGCTAGCCCGGCCCAAGGGGCCTAGCCCATATTGACGGCTCTAAGACTCACCGGTTATTTCACAAGTTAATTTACGTCTAAATAGGTAAAGTATTAAGTATTAATTAATTTATCGGAAAAGGGCCTAAAATACCCTTGAACTATTTGAAATGATACAAAACTATCCTTCATCCACCTATTGGCTCCCAAATACCCCAAACATACACATATTGGCTCCCAAATACCCCTGTCATCCATCTTTGGGTACAATATTGACCACTTTTATAACAAATTGTCATTTAAATAATTTTTTTAACCACGTGTCGACCATCTATTGGATACAATTTAATAACTTAAATTAATTTACAAACTCACCCATTATTAATTATATCCGATCCAAATTAATTAATTACACTCGTCCCAAATTACGTTTACCCCACCGATTAAAACAAATACACTTTTCATTCTCAACATTTCACTTCATCTTCCAACCTCCTTCCCCAATATATTCGCCTACAATCTCGAAAAACACTACCTAAATACACATGCGTTTCACCATAAAATAATCCCCAAAACACTCATGATTTTTTATGATGATACATGAGTGAATTTAGGTAATGTTGTTTGAAATTGTAAGCGAATATACTGGGGAAATAATCACCATTTTTCGTTAATTTATTTGTTTTTTTACAAGATACTAATGAGATTAATTTTTATATTTTTAGTAAATTAGATTATATATAATATATGTGTATCATCTACTAGATATGTTTTAACCATGACCACAATAATCAACATTTGTGTGTCAATCAATACAAATATTATATTAAAGACGAATAAAAGTTGTTTGAATTCATGTAAGATGTGTCCTCGTTGGTTAATGCCATGCTAAGCTTATTTTCTCAACATAGACACTGCGACTTCGCCTTATTATGATAAAATCCCGTTGCCACTTTGAGTAAGGATATTTGGCCAAAGGACATAATACGGATTTGCAGAGTGGATTTCAAGCTTTCAGTTTCCTAACTTCCCATGATCGAGCACATATTCTATCAACAGTTTCTAAATCATTAGGTAAACATCATATTTCCTTCAAAAATAAAAATACACTGTATTTAACTCCATTAACCAATCTTTATTCAAATAACATCAATCAACCTGAATGAAAAAATCAGTCCCAGATACTATATCTTCATAACATGTAATTAGAACATCATTAATTGAATGGTATATATTTTTAAAGAAACAAACATGGTCAGTTGTTGGTTTATACTTTTAGTTATTATCCCACCAAAATTGTTCTTGAAGATCATCAATCGCTTTCTTGTCAACTTGAAATGCTTTAGCGAGGACATCGTCATTAATTGGTGGATCTGAGCCAAATACTGCATTTGCAACAGTGATAACTCCTGCATTTTGACTGCTCAGACCAGCAAATGCAATGGCATTAGTCTTTCCCACATTAAGTTGAAAATGAATTAGACCCTCGGGAAAAACAAAGACATCGCCAGGGTTCAAAATCTTGGTGAATAATTTGTTCTTCATATTTGGTCCAGGGTTAGAAAGGACGAAACCAACATAGAGTCTTCCCTTGAGAACAACAAGAACCTCAGTTCCTCTAGGATGTGTATGAGGTGGATTGAGACCACGTCGTGCAAAATCAATACGAGCTAAAGAAATGCCTAAAGTATTGAGCCCAGGTAAATTGTTGACGTTGACAGCAGTAACAATTGATCCAAGTTGATTTGACGTATTTCCAGGCTTGTTTAGGCCTGGTCTGAAGAAGTCATCAGCTGTGACAAGTTTTGGATCCTTGCAAACTTTTCCATTCACGAAAACTGCATGAAAACAAATGTACATTAGAAATCAAAAAAATGAAAAAGAAAAACAAGCACTCTGTATTCATTTAAACGCGAAGCCAGAACTTAAGTAGTAATTAATCTCAATTACCAGTTGTTTTAGAGTCATTAACAGCAACACAGAAATCTTGTAAGGGACTTGGGTCTGAGGCAGTGCTAGGTGAAGATGTCAAAGCCAATATGACAATTGTTATAACAAAAAACTTCAGGGCAAAAGCCATAATTAGCTAGATAATTAATCTTCTAATTAATTAAAATGATGCTGCTTTAAGTTTATTTCTTGTGATAAACTTTGCATGAGAATGGTGGCTATTTGTAGATGAAATTTCTTGAATGAATCCTCAGATTAAACTACCCCAAAATAAACAATGAATTAATTAAGGTAGCTTCTTAATTACCAAGTCTTCTGATGATTAGTTTATAATAAACCCAATTCCTGAACCCTTCTTCAACAACTACAGAGACTGATTAATCCTCCCTGGGCTATTGGAAATGGTCAGTATTAGGAAATAAGAAAAATACAGAAGAAATAAGGAGTAACAAAGTCAAAATTGGTTAAGTTTTTAGAAAAGGTAAAACTTTCAATAGTACTTTAAGGGAAGAGAAATATTTTACCAATTCAAACTTAGGTTTATTTAGACAAATTTCTTGTTATTACTGCGAATGTTCACAAAAAATTATAGTGTAGTAAGATTTAGTCATTAATAATTACGTTGTTGACAGAACTTCATGGCATAATTGTTTAAATATTCACCATGGAAGACTTGGTGATGCATGCATGCAGAAGCCAAATCCAGACATTATTTAATTTGAAGACTATTTTGATCAAATTGTTATCTATAAATACCCACAACTCTCTGCTCATGTTTCTCACACTTGTATGTTTATAGCTAAACCTTTAAAGCATGAATAACAAGATACGATAATTTAATCGATCGACAGTAGAAACAAAACAACATAAATACTTCTGACTCCAGTAATATACCAGAAACAAAACAACATAAATGTGTTTGAGGCCAGTAATATAGCACACAAACTGTTTTTATTATATTCCTTGTGTAGTCTTGAACAATATTATCACCTCATAAATCAACTTTTTGATTTTGAATTACGTTCAAAATTTTGTTTTAATTACAATATCATATCTAAACTCATTCTGTTTCTTAATTTACTTTGTGTCGAGATTCTATTTTATATTATACGTGCTTTAATTGATAGACATTGGCATGCAAGGACATTGAAAGTCCCATATTGATATGAGGTCGTATACTTGGACCTTTTTTTTTTAATTATTTATTCCAGTGGACAAGAAAATTACATCGTTAGTTTTTTTGTTAGAAATACTTATTTTTCTTAATTTAAAGTTAGTATTGATGATTGTCTCATATCGCTTCAATGTTATTGATAGAATGTGGTTGAAAATAATAAGGACAAGAAAGCGGTGTAAGAATTCTTCTTAATTTTGGTAATCAAATAAACTCGTATAATTAATTTAGAATCTAAGTAACCATATAATACTCTTTTTATTAATTTTATTTAAATATTAACAATATGTGATTATAGTAAAAGAAATATCTAAAAATACATCAATGGTATAAGAGAAAAAAGCAGCATATTTCTTATCAAAAAATAAAATAAAATAGACTATAGGGAGTCAACTCATGAGGTGCCTCTTGTTGAATGTTTTAAAAAAAAAAAAAGGCAAAGAGAAATAACAAACTCCACACAAAAAAGTGCTAATTCTACTCATTCATCGTTACCAATTACCAGTTTATCACTACACTATTTTCCCTTCATTTTCTTTCTACTTTAAAACATTCTTTCAACAAATTTTACTTAGTTGAGTTTTGCAGAAACTTTGTTGTTCCTTGTATTGATGTTTATGTTTTACTATTAGGGGTGGGCATAAATACCGAAAAATCGAATTGAATCGAACCGAAAAAAATCGGTTTTTCGGTGTCGGTTCTTCGGTGTTTCGGTTCGGTGTCGGGTTTTTTTCCGGAACTTTGGTTCTTCGGTTGGGAGTTCGGTGTAAGGGTCCCGAAACTACGGTGCACCGAAGAACCGAAGTTTTATTAAATAAATTTAAAAGTATTTATTATATTACTTAATTTTTAACTTTACTTGGCTCATTTCAATTTTTATATTTAGATCCTAAACTTAAATAACAAAAATCTTAATAACAAAATAGTAAACCCTAAAGACCTAAAGTCTAAACTAAACAAAACTCAATTTAATTCAAGTTTGAACAACAACTTGGTGTTTCTACTTTCTTCTTTTTTTATCATTTTATGTTGTTACTTTGAAGTGAGAACAACAAATTGATGTTCTTACCTTTTATTGTTAGACGGTTAGTTGTTACTTTGAAGTTTGAAGTGTGAAGTGAATAACAATTGTTACTTTATTATATTCTCTTTATTTTTGTTGACACCGCAAAATCAATTTTAAAACACCGAACTAAACCGAACCGAATCGATCTAGTTTGATTTGAAATAT